GGTCACCCCGCGATTGGACTCTGGACTGGACTGGACTGGACTGGACTGGACTGGACTGGACTGGACTGGACTGGACTGGACTGGACTGGACTGGACTGGACTGGTAAAACGAGGACTTGTAAAACGAGGACTAATAAAACGGGGACTAGTAAAACGAGGATTAGTAAAACGCGGGCTAATAAAACGTGGACTAGTAAAACGAGGACTTGTAATACGCGGACTTGTAAAACGCGGCCTAGTAAAACGCGGACCTAATTTTTTTCATGTTTTTCCTTGTTTGTAAATGGAATGAAACTTAACGGCAACGGACTTAACAAACAACAGCAACAAAAAAAACAATTTCATACGAAGGCGATCACAAGACTTAATGGCGAGCCAATTTTAAAAAATTTTGTCCATTTGATGTTATACCAATTAATTTCGATGGTTTAGTGAGTAACAATCCCTGTTTGACCTTTAAAGCTACAAATGGGTTTGACATGCCCCAGATACAAACGATTTTATAAGTTTAGGCTAAGAAAGAATTTTATTCAGCAATAGTTCAAAATCCTAATTTTGTTTCGTGGAATCATTCAGCAGCCATTTGAATAATTTTTTTCATGTTTTTTCAAAATGGAATAAAACTAATCGGTAACGGACTTCACAAAAAAAAATTCATACAAAGGCACAAGACTTAATGGCGAATAAATAGTTGTATCCAGAAATGAACTTGATTGTATTGTGGGTCGTAGCAATAAAAACTGCATAACTTTCGAGATGCGAGCCGACAATTTTCGTTTTCTAACGCGGCTAAGTTAAGACAATTTTACTTAACTAACAATCTGAGATGCTACACAAATCTCTGAACAGTTCAACGACATCAATAACGTTAACAATTAACGGTCTACCTCGAAATAGGAGGTATCATAACTGCTAACAGTATCGGACAATACAAATTTACAAATGAGATTTATCTTGTAATTTAGCGTAAATGTAATCTGTAGTAACAATCCCAAATAATCCAGCTCAACGGCGTCAGTAACAAAAGATTCGTAGTTTTCAATCTCATGCTTTCAAATACTCAATTACGAGTTTAATTACGGGAAAATCCTCCTTGAACTTAACAATGTGATAGCGAGTGAGTTATAAAGAAAACAAACGTTATTCAAATTAAAGAGAAAGCTTTCGCCGAAACATTTTTATTTGCAAAGGTAATTAAAAGGCTTTCCAGCAAATTTTGAAACATTTTTTGATTAGTAACTGTCACGATGTGACACCTGTCAATTGAAGAGGAAAGAAGCACACGCCTTTGAGTAGAGAGGCATTTTGTCTGCGCATGCGCGAGTGGAATTGGTTTTTCGCGTTCGGCGCCATTGGTGAAGTTTTGGACGCGTTTCTGCGAGGTTTCAACTGGACGATCGCCACCTTTTTGTAATATTTTTGGACGATGGATGAAGGAGTATGACAAGTTCACCAACATTTCTAACTCTGTGGATATTCGTGGTGTTTACTGGCTCTTCAGTTGAGGATATTTTAATGATCAAAGTGCGAACAAAACGCGAAAATTTCGTCGGTGCATGGTGGAGGATTTTGCGTACAATTTTCGTTGATGGATGATTTTGGCGGCAGGATAACAGATATCAATTATTAAAAACTGGATCATTGGATAATGCAATTCAAGACTTTTTATTGGCTTAGCCATTATGGTATATCAGCCAATATACCATGATCTACACATATGGTAAGTATACGCATCAGCTTAAAATCAAAAGGGAACTAAAAAATCCAGTTCTTCTTACAAAATAATAATTTCTTGGGGGCGTTTTTAATAAAACAATTATTCCACTCGCGCTTGTTGGATATGAGATGATTATAGCCAACTCGGCGCTACGCGCCTCGTTGGCTATCTATCATCTCATATCCAACGCGCGCTCGTGGAATAATTGTTAATTACACTGGAGCGACTAACTTTACAATGTGTTTTTTCATTACCAAATCGGAATATCGAAAAAACCGTACCTCGCACTCTTTGTTAGCCTATTTCGTCTGAGCGACATAGTCAGTAAGTGGACCGGTATTTAGCCGATACTTGGCCGATACTTGACCGATCCTTGACCGATATGATACTTGGCCGATACTTGACCGATACTTGACCGGCAGTTGACCGTCACATATCGGTCGATATATCGGCCGACAGTCAACCGATAGATCGGTCGACTATCGGTCGTCTATCAGTCGACTATCGGTCGACTATCGGTCGACAGTCGACCGATAGTCGACCGGTAGGCGGTCGGCAGTCGGTCGGTAGTCGGTCGGCAGTCGGTCGGTAGTAGAATCCACAATTTGACCCGGAGGTTTAATTTAACAGAAAGTTCAATAGAGATAGNCGGTCGGCAGTCGGTCGGTAGTCGGTCGGCAGTCGGTCGGTAGTCGGTCGGCAGTCGGTCGGTAGTCGGTCGGCAGTCGGTCGGTAGTCGGTCGGCAGTCGGTCGGTAGTCGGTCGGCAGTCGGTCGGTAGTCGGTCGGCAGTCGGTCGGTAGTCGGTCGGCAGTCGGTCGGTAGTCGGTCGGCAGTCGGTCGGTAGTAGAATCCACAATTTGACCCGGAGGTTTAATTTAACAGAAAGTTCAATAGAGATAGTGTCACCGGTAATAGAATTCAGGAACAGTAATCAGCGACATAACTTAAACACAACAGATGCATGATGGTTTCATATGATTTAAAGTACCAGTCATGAAAGCCAATCCTTAACCGGTACTGTTCAATCGAGAGTCCCATATTTACTTTTGTCGTTTTGAAATATGCCTCCGTGAATTCTCAACAGCCAAGGAGAATGCAACTACAATATAACTTATTTCACTTTATGGCACTTTCAGGTGGCTTCAGACACTTTCAAACACTTTCAGACACTCAGTGGTGCAACCCGGCGCATCGATAGATCAAACCGATATTTGTTGGCTTGCGCGCCGAGAGTACAATGATTCTTTTCAATATACTACAACCCGTACCGAAGATTAAAGCAGCTAAATGTTGTC